CTGGTTCAAATCTCAAAAGCCTTAGGAGAGTCTTCTGTATTTCCAGTTACATTTTATGCGCATGATTCTGATGGCACCATCAGCAATTCTAGGCAATGATCACTACAATTTCTTAATTGGCACCCAATCTTTTATCTGAGTTTAGTGATAATATTACTTCACCAACTGTACTGTGAGCACAATCAGCTACCAACTACACTGGTATTCAAGGATAAAGATACTAAGTCGCTCAAGAAGAGAAAAATTTGGTGAAAACTGTTTAGCCAACTACCCAATACAAGACACCCTAAATGGTAAAGGGCGTTAAAAAACACCTGCCACAGTTAGCGCAAATAAAGGCCTACTACTGAGCGCTAGTGAGACCATGGATATCAGACCTGGTGACCAATAACGGATGTTTCTTTCAATCAATCTGAAGATACCACCAAACACGATACTCAAATTTTATAGTCGCTATGGGATCAGATCAGGATCCAAGAGCACTCCCTGGGTTCTTTAGAACCAAATATACCAGAGAACTGACTGTCATATTGGAGAACATGACTACTCAGCCTAAATATTGAAAATGGACACCATCACCCAAACTATATTGTTAAGCTGCGACGTCATTAAATCAGTACATTATTTTGGAAATTTTAAATGCTAAAATTTGGGATGTGATCAACAAGTAGCAGAAAGATTGGAAGAGATTCTAAATGTGTTTAATAAAATCTTTAGCGCTGGACTAGATGACTATGGATTGTGCAAAGAAGATGTTCATATGATTGACGCTGGATTTTCCATCCATTTAAAGTCTAAACTGTACCACCATTTTAAACCAAAGATGAAAGTATTAACAGAAAGTTGTTTTAATTCTCTGAAACTGGATTAATAAGGCCCTCTAAGAGCATATGGGATTCGCAGCTGCTACTGGTATGCAAGAAGGAAAGAACACACCACGTGGTTATGTACTACACCTGTTAATAAAGTTATGAAACAGATTTTAACCCTCTCCTTTAAATAGGCAATGCTCTGAAGCATTTGGGGGATTAAGGTACTATTTGAAGATGTATTTGGCCAATGGTTATTGGTAGATGGAGATATTGTCTGGAGATCAATAGAAGTGCTCACTGATCATCAGTCAAGAATTATTTGAACCTATGGGTATTCCACAGGTGCTGAGCAACGCCGCTAAAACCTTCTAAAAAGCAATGGGCTATAATTTCCTGTAGATGTCAAGATATCCAGTGTGTTATTCTAACAATATGATATAAAAGTATTCAGTTGCACTTTCAAAGAGCAAATCCAACACTTATGGGAAGTGTTTATACACCTAAGAGAATATAATCTGAAGTTAAAATGAATCTGTTTACCTTCTCAAAGAGACATCTGGAATTTCTAAAAAATGATATCAGCCCAAAAGATATTAAGCCTCAGGAGGAAAGATCAAAGTCATAGCGGCCATGGAACAGCCTCCAAGTATACAAGACATCCAAATATCGTCATGATAGTGGGATACAATCAGCATTTTATCCTCCATTTTGCATCCCTGGCTGCGCCACATGACAGCTTGTTAACTAAGGAAACCAAGTTTTAATGGGTTCTGGAGCAAGAGAAGGCTCCAGAAGGGTTGAAAGCAAGATTGGTAGAGGTACCAATCCTAGCATGCCCAGATTTCAACTAGATGTCTTAACTGTATACTGGTGCTATTAAATTGGTCTTTAAACGATACTCACCTAATTGGATGAATAAGCGATATAACACCTTATCAATTACTACTTCAAAAGACATAATAGAGCTGAAAAACTACTCAGTGATGGAAAGATAGTTCCTGGCAGTGATAAGAGCAGTGAATCATTTTTGAACTTATTTTTATGGAATACAATTTAAAGTAATAATGTTTCACGTATCAATCCACTGGCTGCGCAACGTGAAGGATCCAGGCGAAAGCCTTGTCCAATGGGAAGTACAACTCTGAGGGTATAATTTTGAGATCCTACTCAGAGTAGGCATCTTTTTCTCAACACATATAGGCTATTGCAGTTACCGGTTTTCTATCTCCAAGCACATGAGAGCTTTCGCATTTATGACCTGATCAGATTACAAGAGTAGAAATGGTAAAATGAGACCAACAAAAATAAAAGACTATCTTAAGAAGATGTTCTAAAGATCTCTGGCGTATTAGCGGTAACCTTCAAAAGAAGATCAATGACAAGTGGTACACATACACCTGAACTAGTAATTAAATGGAACTTGTGATGGAAGCTCACAAACAAATTGGAAATGGAAGATTCCTGAAGATATTGACATATCTATGAGACTAGTTCTATTGGGAATCAAAGTCATATGAAGTACATCAAGCCTTGGAACTCTGTGTACCCTGAAAAAGAGATTCAAACCCTTAGAGAAGTGCTTTTAGTTTCAGCCAATTCCAACAACTGCCCCATTCCACAATGCATCTATTGATGTGATAGGACTTTTGCTTACTGCCTCAAGTGGATCTAAGTATATCCTCATGGCTATTGACTATTTAACTAAATGGGAAAGGGCATTTTGGTATTCCAAAAATAAACCACAGGATCAACCGCCAGATTTCTGTATAACCAAGTGATAGAAAGGAACGGATGCCTTAAATTCTGCTATCTAATAACAGGAATACCTTTATCTCCAATGTTGTGAAAACCTATAATTCTAATTAGTTTAAGACAACAATCCATCACTCCATAAAATCCATCCTCTAATGGAAGTGTATAACGCGTTAATAGACATTATGATGAATATTAAAGATGACCCTGTACTACAAATCAAAGTGGGATAAAGTGTTACCATCTGTGCTAACATATAGACTTAGCTATCACTAGTAAAAGCATTTGCATTCAAGGCCCATATGGGTGAGAAGCAGTGCCACTCTCCTTGTTGGCACCAGTTATCTCCACGGATCACAAGAATATACCACCTTGGAATTTATAAGAAATAGTTAAATGTTTATTTGATTATGATTAATTTAGAAGCATCCAATAATACTGAAGCTATTATCCTCAAAAGCCAACGTGAGAGTCAGAGACAAGGTTACCAGAGTTCATTTTATGAGAAAAAGTCATATTATACCATGCATGGGAAAGTCATCCTGAGAAGTTGCAAGCCATTTGGACTGGCCTTGCAACTATCCTGGCACAGAGAGGAGCCAAAGTACTTCATAAGAGATAGCGATACAATATAGTGTTTATCAGAATGCATGTCCAGCACCTTGGGTCCTTCCCTTAGTCTTATCTTGAGAGGAAATGTCGTTGAAGATACCATAAGTACACTGAAGATTAATACCTCACCCTCTGGAAGGAGCCCTGCCAGTATACCAGCACCTCAAGATTTACAAATGTATGAACAAAACGCAATTTGGCAAGTAGCAGGTGATAAGTTGATTCAATAGGTTCAATTGGATTTAGCTGAATGATTAATGGTTTTTAGTATATTATTTAATCATTTTGCTTTTAAAACTAGTTAGTTTTGTATTTATAGGATCAGTTGGTTATTTTTCTAAGAGTTTAATGGCTTTTATTTGGTTTGATAGGTTCAATTTTCTCCTAAACTTATAAATGGTCATCTACAATATAAAGAATAAAATGACTGATTTGAAACTTCACTAATTTTATAAACCCAAGAAACACTAAGAATTTGTTAGTCTATAATAAAAAACACCAAATTACATGTTAGTATAAAAAGTTCACTAACTTTGACACACTTTATAAAACTTATACATCTTTGAATTTTCTCAATATGAAAGCTAAACTTTAAAATTTTGCTAAGATCAATAATACAATCTATAAAAATACATAATACAAAGTAGTTATTCAACAACTACTGTAAGTACACAAAGTCTAATTGGATATAAGCTATATTATATTATGATATAATTAGGTAGACAAAAAACCATAAGGATAAATTTTAAGTTTGTATATGTATACACAATACTAACTGTATCCAAGATTAATTCAAGACTTTAATATCTTTATTGATTACTATTTCTAATCCAATTGCCATTGATTTACACAAGATCTCTAAAAGCAAGATAAACAAGTATCATTTATGATAATCCCGGTCATTTTATAGGATTTGATATTCTGGCCCTAAATATTATCATAGTTTAATATGTGTTTTCCATATAATTAGATGCTATAAGTTTTGAGGAGGATACCTCAGTGGTAGAATATGGGCTCACTACCGCTGCCTCCCCAAGTTTGGTTCTAGTACATGGACTTTGTGTAGGAGATGACTATGACTGTGTTGGCATTGAACACCAATGCCCTAAACTGAGATAGCAAATAGCAAGGCAGTCCGTAGAGGTCCTGGCCTATCATACACCAAGCACAGGGGCTTTCCAGCTTTTATCCTCTTTCCCCATTTTCTTTGATTCCCCTTAATTGGTGCAGTATTGTCCTCAGGTTGGCCCAACTCAAAAAAATTGAAACTTAAGATACTATAAATTTTCCAAAAATTTTCACATTTTTATAATTATAAAAACTAGACCTATGTTTCATTAAACAAAATAAGACAACTAAAGTCTATAAATAGTTGATTTTGTTACACAATTGATGCAAAAAAGCTTCAAAAATCATGTAACAGATAATTATGAAGCTAGTTTTTTTATATTTCTTAGTCTAAAAGTGTTTGCTCTTATACCTTGTTTCATGTATTCATGTAAAATCATCCATAGAAAATTCGTTTGCTTATATTTATAATAGACTAAAAATTCATCAAGTATCAAACGCACTATAATGTTTTATATAAGTCACGTTTGAAATATGAACAATATGGTAGAACAGCTGCTATATAAATATGTAAAAGCTATGTCAGGTTTTTACTGATACCTAATAAATTAGTAATTTAATAATGAATTTTAACTTCTAGATGATAGAAATGATAATTTATAATGTATTCTTTGCATTTAATAAAAATAGGATCTTAAAAATATTTACTTAACTGAGGCAAGCCGAACAGGGGACGGACAATACCAAGCTTAAAAAGGCTCATGGCAGGGATTGAACCAGCGGTCTCAAGATTAACAGCCTTACACGCTAACCAATTGCGCCACACGAATTGATTTTAAATATTTTGATTTGAAATATAATATATCTATGGTTTATTTTTATATTTACACACTATATAAAACTTAAAATTTATGAACGGGTTAAATGCACCATAGTTATAATTAGTTAAGAAGTAGAAGCCACTCATTATCTGCGCAAGGATATTCATACTACTGGGCTTTCTGTTCTTAGAAAATAATTTTTAAAACAATGTTCTGCTACTTGCTCTTTTGGTGGCTATAGAAAACTTAATAACTGAGATGGTATTGGTAAGGTTAATAGGGACATGAGTTTTATATATAATCTCAAAAATATATTTTAACTAACAAGAAAGTTGGTGTTTTTTATATGACTAATCACTATGGTTACTTCTTTAGATCCAATAGATTGTGCTCCTAATGGTAGAAACATATATGTAACATTGTAATCCATGGTTTAGCAGCCTACTTATCCAATCCATCTTACAATTTGTGGTCCCAGATGGAGCCCATGCCTTTCTGGGCCTCGGACGTTCACCATGATAAGCTCTGAATTTAGTAAAATTGCATTGTCAATTTCACCTTGTGCCATCATCCCTTCTGCCCCCAACCATCCATTCTGGGATTTTGTTGAGGAGTGCTGACAATATGTCCATTCTGTTTTGAGTTGGACCACTCCAAATAAATACGCCCATACCTTTTTGCTTTTTCAAGCTCTGCATTTTCATCCACCAGCCTCCAATCTGCCACCAACCCATGCTTTTTTGGTATGAGATACAATCCTACCCCCTCCCCCAAAGCCTGCTGCACCCATAGCACCCAATCAGGCTCCTCCTTGGCCCAGTTCCACAAACGTTCCCTCTAACCAATAACTGGTTTCAACATTGGTTTTCTCCCATACTTCCGCCAAACTAACCAATCTTCAATCACATGACAAAATCTCAACTAAGTTCAACCAGAACCTTGGGGCTTATTGGATGAAATTGATGGATCAGGTAATTTCCTTGATGACCACTATACAAATTGAGCGGTTCCTCAGCCCAGAATATGACGCCAAGTTCCACCCTCATTAATCTGCACCACAGACAAACACTGAAAGGTTCTGCAGTAATCACCAGCTTGCTGTTGAAGCAGCTGACAGACCAGATTGTTGCCCCTATGCAAAGCTGTCTCCAAGTCAGTGGCAATGCTTGTAGGAGGGATCCCAACTCACACTTCCCCATGAGGATACTGCCAAGGATATGCCACTTAACCCCCTACCCTTCTGCCGTGGTGGTATAGACAGTTTTATGATGTCACACCTTATTGGTTGCAATCTTATTATATTTGTTTCATCCATTTATTTTGGGCAATCTGACACATTTTGGTGTGCTTTCCTTTTAATTTACTCATTGAGCTTTGTAATGGCCATTTACTTGTCAGCATACCTCAATAAAATATAAATACAAACATTGTAATCCATCAATATGGGTCTTTTTGTAAGTGTAATAGCAAATATCATTTAGGTTAGTCTACATGGCCAAAAATGCTATATGAAATCTTTATAATTAACTTTAAGGATGTACATTTTAATTCAGCTTTTTACATATATGCAAAGTGTGAATTTTGTGTTAAACAAATTTGTTTACTCATATTATAAAAATTGGCTATCTATCTTATAAATTGTGTAAGCAGATATGGATGAATAATATTTATTAATTGTGTATCTGATTACTATATTACTTAGTACAGATTTTTCTATAAAAATATACTGAATTTACAGGGACCTAAAACTATATGTATGTCCCTAGAGTTATAAAAATTACATAAAAAAGTTTTTTTTGCCAAATTTAAGCATTTGTAGCTAATTTGTAAATGGTTTTAATATCTATATAGATGAACAAATATAGTATTCACTTATAAAAAAGGATAGAGCATGCAAATTCTGGACAAAATATTAAGCCAAATTCTTATCATGCCAGTATTAAGACTCATGCAGATCTGTGTAGTTTCAGAAAAAACAATGTTAGTTTAATCACCATTAGATGTTGATTTATCTATGAACGTTTTAGGACCAAGATTGAAACATGCATGCTTCTAGACATAAAAAAGCGCTTTACCATTAGGCTTACCTGCAAATCCAGCTAACCCAATCCTTGTGAATTTATTGTAATGCCTTCCCCTTAAGAAAAATGGAGTGTTTTAACCCTCTTTCTAGATTTACTTGAACAGGTTTGATCAAGTGCATAACATAGATGAGCTTTAAGGGACTGACCTCAAATTGGAGGCTAATTTCCTTTCTTAGCTTCCCAGTTCAGCCTCTAAATTTAACCTGATTAGGCTCTTAGCCCTTCGTAGAGGATTCAAGTTTTGTTAAGAGTTCACCCTCTCCTGCTAACAGCCCATCCCTAAGCCCTAAATAACATTCACATTTCCCCAGTTACCCCACTTAAGGCCTTACCATTTTTTCTACCATTTCAGAAAGCACATGTTTGATGGCACCAATATGTTCAGGAGTCCAATTACCCCCATGATCAAAGTAACGTGCCATCCCATGCCTTTTAAATTGCCCAAAAAAACTTAAAAGATAGAGTTTCATTCTAATTCTAAGAAAATTCAGATAATTCCCAAGTGATGATCTAACCTTCTATTTTTTGTGACAAATATAGAACCTTCCAAATTTCAATTTAAATTAAAGGGACAAACGCATTTCCCCGCTCTAAATCCATATTTAAATATTGACACAATTAGAACATGACTAGATATGTTGCATTTGAACTAAAACAAAAATTACTCAAATATCAACTTGATCCGGACATTGGATGCAATTTTGCCCCTAGGTTACTATTGATAAGGTAAGTCAATTTCCTTGTCTTGGACCTAACATACTAGATTTTCTGAAACTTTAACTTAAACATGGTGTCATGATTCTGATATGACTAAATGATAAGCCCTAAGTCATCATGGAAGTATGGGTATAATCTGCCAAGTTTGATATGAGTTATGATTATTTGAGCGACTTAAGATGAGGCAATATTTGGCTGATATGGATGGTTATTGGATCACTTCCATATGAGGCAATTAGGAGATATCAATGTCAATAAATAGTTGGTAAATTGCCTTGAACTAGGTGATTGTAAATTTAATGAATGAAGAATTTCCATAACCAATGAGATATGGCGAACTAAATAACTAAGCCAAGGAAATGGTATTATCCAAAGTTGCTGAGATATAGGTGATATGAGATGATTGATGAGTGAGGTTGTTAGTAATTTAGAGTTAGCGGAACAGAAATGATCTGTTGTATATATTATATCAAATATTTAAAGTGTCATTCGGAGAAATTGCTCTATTTTTTATTAAAGTTTATTAACTTGTTCTTAGGATGACAATCATATTTTTGGTCCTATTGCTCAGTGGGCTGAATCCTGTGCAAAACCCCTTTGACGTATCTCCAATATACCTCCAGAATTAAAACAGTGGTGCTCACTACAGGGGGCCCATTGATCAATCATAAAAAATGATAAAAATTCCTTAGTCGCTGGCCATGTTGTATCAGGCTTGCTTTGGCAAGAAACCTTCCCAACACACTGCAACTGTTGAATATATGAAACTCAAGCTTTCCCTGGATGCTTTTCTTCAATGGAAGAAGGAGTTTCTGGCGGAGGTCTGTATTGATAAGCTGCCTCCGTTTTATTGTGATGGAAACATCCATGGATTCTTAAAAAGTGATTTGAGTTTGCAGTAGAAGAGAATAGATTGGCATAAAGCCAAATTATTAGTATCCACCTTGGAAGTCGTAAGCACCAATCAAGTTACTTACTATCTTTCCAACTGTTCCATTACCTATCAAGAAGTGTAGGAAACAGTGCTGTGGTTGTTTAGAGAAACTTCAAAGATGGCGCAGTGGAAGGCTAAGTTTTTAGCCATCAGGTTTCAGCATAATGATACCCTCACCACATTTATGATTGATTTACAGTGGAAGCCTATGTGTTAATTGTGGCATGGACTTTAACCAAATCTGACATATGAATAGCATTGTCCTCCGCTGTGAAATCATACCGTGAGCTTTTAAATGCCATGGCTCCATATTTAGAGAACGATGTGCCTTGCTTAAACTTGTTTGAATTTTACACCATCTATCCGCTACCTTCCCTCCACCCAATATAGAGCAGAAACCTATCACTTCCACTGCTGGAATTGCTTATTTGGGGAATTATCCCTCCCTGTTCAGCATCCATTTAGTAAACCCTGGCCTTAAAATCACTACACACCTCATCTCCCAACCAAGTTGACATCAGCAGTTCAACTATTGTGTGGGGCTGTTTACACCACTTAACCCAGATCAACTATTGTGTGGGGCTGTTTACACCACTTAACCCCAGTCCAACTATTGGGGTGACCCATCTTACATCAATTAAGGATGCAGAACTTATGAGAACAATTTTTTATGCAGTCTCTCTGGGCACCTGGCCATAAGTTGCCTTAATCATCAGGTCTATTACCTACTGCAGGAGCAGTACAATCAGGGATAATCAGAGCGGAGTAAAGATGAGACTCTCTACCTCCGCTATTATGACTCAAAACGTCCCACCTGAACCTATCACTGTACATTCAGTGGAAGTTCCTCAATATGATGATGACTTCCTATATTATCAGCCAGTTGGAGGGGTGAATGTGCTGACACAAGTGCAATTCAAGAACACTGCGGAAGCAGGCCCCCAAGAGCAACCAAAGCCTTATGCTTGCCAAATGTTTGACCAATTTTCTACAGATAAACCAGATCCATTCACTGATGCACTTCTCTTAAAAGGGGTGTGGGATCCGCCAATGGATGCCACAAATAATATATATTTAAGTGATATATTTACTTTTTAATAAAAGTATAAAATAACACTTATTAAAGTTTTTTATGTTTTTTATTATTTAGGCAGGGCAAAAACCAGGAAAGGTCCCTTTCTTGATACTAGTTTTTCCTATTTAAACTAATTTGACTTTTGAGACCAGGGGTATTTGAGGCAAAAGAATGCAAAGCTCAGTTATCTAAATTAGGA